TCAGTTAAAAATCCAAAGCCGAGTGATCGTGAGAACAGGGCCAAATGAATAGAAAGGACAAAGTTCAGTGTTGCTAACTAAGTTGTCTTGAGGAATATTGGCATCTTTAACACTAAGCATCCAGTTTGTACCAAGCGATCTGATAAACCCGTAAAAAAATTAGCTTTGATTTTTTAAAACACGGCCTTTCAAGCCATTGCAAAATTTGCCCTAGTGTGCTTCAAAATTGTTTTTTAGACGTGGCCTCGTGCTCAAACCTTCATTGCCCTGAACCTAATCCAGTCATCAGATGCTATTTTCAAGTGCCAAATGACCTATCGCGGAGAGGGTACGTGCTTTCCTTATTTGCCTAGTTTCCTAACCACCAGGTCATTACTTGTTATCGGTTTGTTGATTTGACTGACTTTGCAAACTCCGCCTGCCCGACCCGCCAGGTGGGGCGCCCTCGACAGTCGTCTTCTGGGGTCCACTGGTTGTTGAAAAAAACACCACAGGGTCCACTACTAATGGTTTTGGTCTACTTCGCTTCATTTCTCTTCTTTCAATTCACTCATCATCCCCAAAGTGGACGCATACTTTACTGCTTTTCTTTACATGAGTAAACCATTCACACTTGCGCCATTCTTAGCAAGCCACCGGGGCCTGGCCATGCGTCGTAGCCACACAGCACTCACCCTCGTTTACTGCTGCAGGGATTTTCCGGCTTGTATGCGGTGTCAAACCAAGGCGACGGTGCCACCCCCTTTGCAAATGCACCCGGAGTAGCAGAATGTACTTTTTTTAATCGGAAAATTCAAAAGTCTGCATTCCAACTGCCTGGGTTCATCAATTTAGCACACTTGACTACGTAAAGGAAAAGTTACCGTTCAAGGTGTCAACGAGTTGGCCTCGGATCTGGTCTGGCGCTGATGGTTGAAATGCTCTTGTCGAGCGATGAGCGGGTCGCTGCACTCTTTGTAATATCCATCACCCAGTTCCATTTTATTCCTCTAACCAATAACTCTGAAAAGTGTGTCGACTTGTTTTTGGTGATTTCAGATACTTAGGCTTTCCTTTCTTCTCTCCAAATTGGTGCTTTCGAAGAGAAGATACAATATGTGTTAAATAAGATCATCACCCAACGAAAATGTTTCAGCTAATACGCACGTCACTTGGAAGCATATGGTTACTTTCAAACTTCGCCTAACTGTTACATAGAGCGTATTTTTCTACCATAGCCTCTAGTTTTTTGAATAATTAAAAAAAACTGCTGACTTGAAGGTTCGCTCATAGCAGCACAGTTATTTAGCAACGTGCCAGCACTGTTTTGTACCTTCTAGCATGGACATCCAAGAGTGCAAACTGTCCCAAAAATGCTTAGGTTGTGGACACTGATGTAAAAACTGATTAACACCAGTGTGCACAAAATAGAAAATTTGCCAATGGCTGGCTGTGGGTTGCACGTTGAGTGTTCTTAACTGTGGACTCCCCTTCAACCACCGCAGCACCTTCGCTAGGGTTCTAACTCGGGACCAGGCGTCGAATAGCCTGCTTCTGGTCGATGCGTAGTGAGTTGGAGGAAAAATAATAGTCATCTGAAAAGGAGTGACGCACTTGGCGCAATTCTCACTCTCCCTTATCCAACTTGGGCCAATTTCTAAATTTAAATAAGGCCAATTTTGCTGGATACTAACTTTAACCTGCGTCTTACTTACCGTTGACTTCGTGAAGTGAAATCTCACAATGTTCGAGACCAACCACAGCCTCACACACAATCCAATCCTGTGATTTATCGCCGCAACACTCGTTGGCATTGAGGATTGTCCGCCTAGTTGGGTGCGAATGGACAATTGACTAAACTATGTTTTTAGATTACTGGCGTGATTTTGTCTGCTCTGCGGTTTTCATTGTCGTCAGGATCAGTGGGCACTTGGGTTTCGTGGCCCATTGCACAATGCTTTATTTGCTAAGTGCGATGAACGCACCTTTTTGTCTGGATAGTTAATTTGTAAGAGGGGTCTATGAGCGTGTCACGCTCTTGTGTCTGAATTTGACGGTAGAGGAAATTTTATTATTATTCTCTTCAGTAAGCGTTCGGTTTGCACTTGTAGACATACTGACAATCGGCGTGTCGATTCCAGCATCGTACCCCGATGAGCCCTCGCTGATTATTCTGGCCAATGGTGCTGAGGCCTTTCCTGCTGGTGACGTGACCTCGATTCATGCTCAGGTACATCTCCTCCAGCATGGCATGAGCACTTATTTGCAATTGTAGTGCATGGGGATCTCCAACTGCCGTATTTCGATTCTAGTGGTCCGCACTGACGCCTGAAGTTCATTGGTGTCAGAGCCTTTTACGGTTTTTTTCACATTTGGCGTGATTTGGGAAGCCAGCTACTCGGAACTTAGCGTGTTGTGCTTTTTACATGCGGCAGCACAAACTGAATAGCCTAAACCGAAAGTAACGAAAAAAATCAGTGCGTTGCAGATTTTACAAAGAATTTTCTTTGTTTTGGAGTCTAAATCACGTATCTCTTTAGAAAGACTCTATTTCGACACACAAAGATCATGTGGTTGACCATAGAGTAAAAAGGGTACATTTTCTTTCTAGGTACATCCACTGCCAGATTTTCGTTTTAATACATGGCTCTTAAGTAATTACTTTTGTCCAAACTTGTATCCAGGCTGAATGAATGAATGGACAAGTGACAGATCTGCGAGATAGCGCTTTTGTTTTTTTTTCTAGTGGGGACAATGGATTTCTCTGAAAGTGTGTGGTCTGTTTTAATCGCCACTGGGCTAGTGATTGATGCGATTCAGATTCCTCTAGATGTGCAACCGAAACAGTTCAGCTTTTCCACAGTGCGAAACGACAAGACTTAGTTGTTTTCCCTTTTTTAACGCCAGGAGCTGGAGATGGAGGTAAATTGCTTCTGGCGGGAGCTGCCTCGTGAAGACGGCCAGACTGCGGCCAGCGACGAGGAGGGCGACAGCGAGAAAGGGAGGACGTTTGAGGAGGTGTTCGCCAAAGGCGTCGGCATCCAGCCCGAAAACCTGCTCACCTGCCAGCTCGCACGCATTGCCTCCTGTCTGCCAATCTTTTTGGACAGCGGCGACAACACTGATGGCCAAATCAAGAAGTTTTGTCCACAAGGTTTGAGGTTGGTTTCCCTCCCCCTCTCCCTCCTCCCGATTTTTTTTACTAAATTAGCAACAATTTTTTTGTTCGAAATTTTCCCAGTCAAAACAGCGTTGACTTATCGCAACTCCAGTTTTGAATTGAGTAGTGCTAAAATTTGGTGTTATTGTACTGCTCGTATAAGTAGTTGACATGTGAAGTAGGTTGTCTCAAACTTTGCACCCTTTTCACATTGACCCCACAATTTTACCGCAAGGGTTTGTGGAGGAGCGCTCGCGGAGTAACAGGGTTCAACTAGCTAGGAGGCAATTCCTCCCTCCGCTCTCATGCCCCTCCAAACCGGTTTTACTTGAAGTGGTCGGACCCTTGCACTTGTTTACCAGTCGATCGCAGTAGTTGACGTGCGTCAAAGGCGATGAGATTCGCCGACCCAGATTCGTTTCCATTATTTTTCCATCCCCGAATTCGGCGGGCCTCTTGTGTGTCACGCAGCCGGCCGCTTTATTGTGGCACAAAGAGGTGGCTCGTGTAGTGACCCTCGTCTTGGTCTCCTGGACCACCAGACCGCTGGTTTGAGAAAGCACCCAAAGATGGAAGCGTGTTCCCGCCCATCCGCGGCCCCAATGTGAATCAAATTAATGGCTTCGCCCACGGTGCACATTCACGTGCAACTTTGAAGCACGAATTCTAGGCCTTTGTGTCGTGTTTTTATTTGTCACTAAGGCACCAAAGCAGCAATTTCAATTGAGCACGATCAAGGATATCTTTTTGCTATGTTAATAACGCCCGTCACGGTTTGTAGGCTAAATGTATCGGCCTCAGATTTAGTATAATGCCTTTTTCTGAGACACCGCATGTGGTGGTAGCTGTTGTTTTGCTGAAAGTCGTACCTTACCATTTTTGGAGAGTTCGTCTGCTTCAGCTGGAGAGTAGGTTGAGTAGGCGTGCTTTCCATGGTTAACCATAACTTTGTTTTCCCTCTTTTTGCCCCACCCCCCAGGTACCGCACACGAAGTCGCCCACTAAAGTTCCTGCCGCGTTTGGGCGTTTTCACTTACCGCTGATGGCGAGGAGCCTCATTTGCACTGTGTATATGTCATTCATTTGCGGAGGCCGTTGTGCTTTTATGCCAAATAAAATTTTGATGTGTACCGATCGTCATTGCTTTTTTAAAATAAAAACATCCTTAATGGGGTGGTACGTGTGGAATTAAAATGGCGCTTTCACACCAAGTCACACGAATTTCGTTACCGGTTGGTGTTACCATTAGCTAGCTACTGGCGTTCGAAGCTGACCTGAATCCTCTCTTTGCAGGTATTCCAATTTGTTGGAATTCGAACATTGGATCTAGCAACAGTTCTGATGACCCAGTCATCCGCCACAACAAGGACTGCATTAAATTTGACTTTTCTTGATGAGTGAATGTTCAAGTGAGTAGCGGGGTTGAGACAGGTCCATGCCACTCGACCTCTCATGAGGTGGCAGTGCCACATGGCGTCGGGCATTGTCTCGGAGGCCACCGAACCACCCAGCCCGTTTTCGGTGCACATTCTCGATGTTGTTGTTAACACCCATGATGCGGAATGCCTTGCTTGCTCAGACTTTGGTGGACAAAACAACCGACGACTCACTGCCGCAGACACCAAATTCCCGTGGTCCTTACGAGGCAGATTTGTTGAGAACTCTGGGTGTTCAAACCAATTGTCTGTATGTTTTATTTGCGGGCTATGCTTCATGCGTTGCAAATCAGTTATTCATAAATCGAGTGTTTTGACGGTTTTTTGATATATCAAGCACAGGACTTCTATTCTTTGATTGAGCCGAGCACTTAATTTGTCCAGGTTAATTAGTTTAATGTCGTCTCTTCTACGGACGAATGAAGGTGCTTTAGTGGAACACTTGGAACCGGTTCGCTCGCTGTTCAAGAGGTTGGACTGTTCCCAGTGCTGACAAATCGCCTGAATCTCCAGTATGCGCATGTCACGTCACTTTCGTCAAAACAAAGTTGTACAAGTCCCGAACATAGCCAGGATACAGTGGATTCAATCACTTTAAGGTCAATTCCTAAGTTGTTTGTAAAATGAAACGGAACTCGTCGAGATCTTCTGTAGTCAGACTTCCACGCAACGCAACATCAAAGCCCTGTGTAAGGCCAGTCAAGATTTGTTGATAACTGGTTCACCAGAACATAAGGCGGCGATCAAAATATTTTAAAAGCCGCTACTCAATAGTCTATCTGCTTTAAAACGAACTTTTTTGTCGAGGATACGTTTGGGTAGTTAAAACTGGTGCCTCCTTCAAGTTTACAGTCTTTTGGAAACATGGTTTCGCCATTTCGATGTACATGGTGCAATCAGATCTACCATGGTAGAAAAAAGTTGGAATGGCTACGAAGAGTCAATTAACCATTAAAATGGCAATATGTGTGAAATTTTTATGTTAAAATCCTTTGAAAATCTGCTAAGTTTGAAGAACGCAAGCGACCACAATCGGAGGGGCATGATGGGAAGGCGAATTGGCTGAGGGGCCTCATCCGCATCCACAGAAGCCAAACGTGTGCGTCACGCCTCGCAGTGGAGAGCGCATGAACCGCAATCGGAAGGGCGGTCACCGCCGCTCAGTTAGTCAGTGAGGCGTCGCTGAGGTGAATGGCCGCCTGAGTGCGAGCAGCGCGTCACGGGATGTCACGCCAGCCAGCTAAACTAGCGATTGTGGCCAGACTAAGCGATTATCGAATGTCGTTCCTACGATCAATCAATTTGTCCATTGTTCGAGCCAAGCGTACCTACCATATTACGGACATGGTGAAGAAGAGAATGCTTCCACATCCTTTACATTCTATGCTTTATTTGCGTACAAACGGGTATCTCGCACGTCCTCATTTCCCTTTACTAACGCGTAGCTTTTGACTCACTGTCGATGTGTTTTGTGTAAAGCTCAATTTCACTGTTGAAAGCCAATAGTACGTATGATAAAATTAGCGTCATATCTGTTCCTCTATATTTAGTCAACTAATTACTTGTGACACTACAGTCGCATTGCCGTTAAATATTCACCCATTGGGGGAGTATGTTCTGCTGGTTTGGCAAGGCTCGTTACTAATCGCAGCCGAATCGGCAAACAAGGTACGCAGACAAAAATTGCGAGGCTCGCAGTGCAGAGCCCACAGACGCACATTCATAATTAACACCAGAACTTGCCTCCTCTCAGCACGCGTAGGATTGGCTGCCAGCACCAGATGCGCACGCTGGAGGGTGTTAGCGCGTACACTGTCTCGGTGAGGCGTGTGACAGCCGCGTGGCAGGGCTGAGCAGCATCGGGGGACGGGGTGCGTAGGTGGGGATGGGTGGGTGAGCACTGCTGCTGGAGCCTCACGCAGGGGGAAGTGTCGTATCTCAGCGCTTCATCTTCGTACACCTGAGCGCAAACTTCACTGCGCGCACGCACACCTGAGCCGAGGAGAGTGGGAGAGAGAACTGGCCAACCGACAAACAAAGGCTACAGCGATTTTCGTTTCACGTCGACTGGGGCTGCACAGCCAGTGGGCTTCTTTCGTGGGCGTATCCGCCCATCTCACGTACTGGGTATGTCACCTCTTTGTCTTTTTGCGTGATGCACTAACTTCTTCCAAGGCATTGCTTCCACACTCTGCGGTTCGCATAAATTGATCTACCTCCAATTTTCGAATTAATTTTCTGTTATACTTTACTTCAGTGGGCGATAATTTATTTTCCCCAACCCCAACAAAACTGACTAATATTATAATATGATCGACATTGCAAATAATTTATTTGCTTATTGCTAGTTCCTCTTTAACGTTCGCTTCCTCATTTCAACAAATTATTTACCTTCCACTGGGCCTCTACAATATCAATGGCTTAGTTTTACTGGTTTTATTTATCCATTACACCTTGTTTATCACGAGGTTGAACCTACGAATAATTATATACAAATTCGTCTGCAACGTTCACTTGCTTTACTGATTAATTTCCACTTCAATTTTTGCTAACTTAACAGCGAAGTCAGTCCTTCATTTTGCTAGAAATACATTAGTCGCCTTTAAAACGCTTAATGTGCAAAGTCACTAATTTAAAATAAGCAAAAAAGTGGTATAAACAACATGGTCCACAAATCACCTATGAAATGTTAAGCAAGGACACGAGAACCGCCATTGTGTTTGATATGCATGCATGCAATAACTGACGGTGTCACAACCGACGGTGACATTAAAAACAAACTCCGTTATCAGATCATGGACTGTCGTTATTTTTTCGTCTTAAACATAAATGCTATCAAATTACACTAGTCCAGTGTCAAATGACCATTTCTCTAACTAATATTAATATTAATTAAGTAAAAGTTTTTACGCGTTTGAATAACGTTTTCCTTGCTACTTACGCTCCTTTTATGAATTCAGTCTGCGTAATCGATCGTTTCTTCTTGAGTTCTCTCTGTAAAATGGTACTTAGCTATATAACTGAATTTCGGGCTATGGTGTACATCAGGTTGCAGAGACTGTATGGCGGTTCATACCTTCATTTCGGAAGTGCTCCTCGTCTGTTTACATTGGCCAAATGCTTTTCCACGTTCATTGGCAAGTAAAAGGAGAACACCAGTGTGTTTTGTCGAATATTTTTACCAAAGGACCATGGGCTTAATTCTTTGCCCACAGGAGTCAGCCAATTAAGAGCCCTAAAAGCCATATACCCAGTTTCGACTCTAACTGATGGACTAAATGGACGATAATGAACGACTTAGTGTGACACGAGGTATTATCAGGATGAGGGAATACTTTTCCCCCCACTATCTTTGCGTTCTTCGCAGGCACTTTTAACATGACAGGAATGCACGTCTTTGCTTAGTCAATTCCGAGTAGCAAGCACACCGCATGCTTGCCGCTTACGTTGGGCATAGGTGTAAACTCTCACGGCACGACTACCTAACACTAAGCCTAGTTGTCATTGCCTCATGCACAATACTGCACAGCCTGCTGAAGCCATTCTGCTTATATTTCTGTTTTAGTCTAAACGGGGCATGAGCAATGGCTTATTTCAAGCTAAAAGCAAGTTCGACTGTCTAGGGTTATTCGCACGTAATTACAAGCTGGTGAGTGTGGCCGCCGGCTAAGGACTTTCAGCTGGCGCCGGTCACTGTGCTCAGCGATAAACTCATGACACTTCGAGATGTGCCGGGTTTTCATGCGGAACCGCAGGAGTTGGTGTGTGGCTACTCCCAATCGTTCCAAATTCCACGTTGACGTCTTATTGCACAAAATGCTAAAAGCACCTTCACATGCACATTCAGTGATTGCCCCTCCACGTCTTGTTGTTGTCATCAGTTATTTGATTAATTTACACGGGATTTAAAAACTTTATTTTAAAATCTGAGGTCTATGCCCACAGCAGTAATTTTAGTAGTTTCACATTTAACTTGAATGGGGGAATCCGTAAACCTGAAGCACAATCAGTACAGAATCAGTTGAAACTTCCTTCAATCGGCACTTTAATAAGCAAACATCTTTTGACCCGGCCCATTAATTAAGATTCTAACTTCAGAATTAGGCATTGACAGAACCATTGTGAATCTTTTGGGCCTAAATTTGTGAGAGATTCCAAAATAAAAGGCTAATTAAACAGCATACGTCAGATAATTAAAGATGCAACTTTGGACTTTACTAAAAGTTAAACTCACAGGTTAAACGAAGTCGTGCTTGAAAGGACTTGGGTGCTCTGCTAGGTAAAATGCATTTATTTACACTGGGAAGCAAAAGTCTGGAATGAATTTAGATTTTTAAAGTCACATTTAATCAAAATTGGCCACGTGGATTGCAACCCACCCCTTAAACTTCTGGGTATATTTTAATAAAATACTTTATCAAGAGATACGATACTTGGGAAGTCAAGGGATAAGTTCATATACACTAAGTTCATTTTTTACTGTTTTTTCCAAGTAAAGAAGTCAAGAAGATGAGTAAACTAAACTGCCGGTGTCAGAAGGGCATAATCCTCGAGTCACTCTTTTTAACAGTTTGGATAAGGAACCGATCAAAGGCTGAAAATGAGGGGAAAAATCAATAAAAACTTATTTGATTGTCAAAGCATTTTCATACCAAACAATCCTTTAGTGCATTTCCAGAGGGAAAGTAACTGTTTGTAGAACTTGCTCACCAGAAATTGTCTGCCTGGAACCAACCCTGTCATTTGTTAGCAATTCAACCAAGTCGCCGGATTTATTTGTATATTTCGATTACACTCGAGTAATGTCAGATTTCTATTAAATAAACTGCTTCGGTTTTGGCTTGTGATCTCTTCAGAGGGACCGTAGCCTTCTGTTATTATATTTAATACCGGTACTTCAGTACAAATCGAACAATAGCATCAGTGATTTTAGAAAATAAGTTATTTGCCGCTGTTCCTCATCCCAGCACTCCAACATTTAATTATTAAATTTTGATTTTATTTCTGCCAGGATTTTGACTTCTTGTTACTATCGCAAGCAAGTTTTCATCGAAATAAACGGGCACTTTGTCATTAACGTCCTACCAGTGACGGCCATATTTAGGAAACGTTAAATATTGAGGCCGATTTGCGCCTATATCAACAACCTCGCGTATCTCAGATAATGTTAGAAAACCTTCTACGAATTTATCTTGAACAAAAGAGGGTTTTCATCTGTTTAATCTGACACATACCTAATTTTGATCGGTAACCTAACATTCACAAAGCCTTAGATAGAGTTAAAAATCGTAACCTTCTCACGAACTCGCCTCTTTTTCGGAATACTCTAAGGCGTTCACGTCTATGACCCAGTAATCTTTCCATTATTACGAAAATGGAGGACATGTCACCATTAATTATCGCGTCAATTAGTTCAGGCGGAGCATACAGTCCCCGCGAGCGCAAAATCGATTTCCTGCTGCTACTGGACCCGTGCATATGTACGCACGCGCCAACACGGTGGTGCGCACGTGCTAGCAGCCAGGTGGTAGTAAGGCTGCGCCAGCAAATTCATAAGGTGGCTTGGCTTATGTAGCACGCTGATAGGACGTTTCTGCCTCCCCCCTGCCTAAAACGGGCAGGTTTGAGAGATGGCGATTTCCGCAGCTTACCCCGACACATCCATAAAAAAACTTACGTGACTCACGTGTGAATTTTGAAAGCGTTGGTTTGGTAAAATGCGAGATGGGAAGGCCGCGACGATAATCAAGCCAAACTTCAATGACGTGCAGAGTACACGTTGGGTTCCTTTTCAGCTAGTTTTAACTTCGGGCACGAATTTGAGCAGCCCTTACCCTCTTAATTCCCAACAATTAAGTAGAAATACATTCGAGGACAAATAGCACTCAGCATAAGTAGTAGGAAAAGAGAGCTGAATCTCCCGCCAGTTTTGCCTTTTAATCCCGTCTAGGGAGCAGAAAAGCAGCTCCTGATGTCAGAATAGGTGTAGGAACTTACGATTTTGAACTGTTTAAGGGTATTTTTTAGCGGATCGCCCCACAGTTACTGCAGTGAAAAGTTTCGTCAATTGAGAAAGGTATCCCAATACTCGGTCAACGGGAAAATTTTATGGCCTTCGCTATGCAGAGGCTGCGTCGAAGCCTTCAGACACTTTAGCCTGCCCCCTGTGACGCTGTGTGAGAAGTCGGCGTGCTCAGACGTAATATGCTGTTCACATTTTAAATTGGCCACGTGTTTTAATAATACTTTCATTCAAGTCGTAATCGGCACACTGCTTTTAAATTCTATATCCAAAATGAACATTTATTAGGTTCCTTGCCGAGGAGACAACTCTATTGGAGAAGCCTTACACTGGACTTCATGTATACACGCCCTCCGTTATTCAATAAAATTGTAACATTTGGGAGTTAACTACTGAGTCTCGGGAAAAAGTCAAAAGGCCTCTTTTGTGAAACCACAATCAAAAGTGCAACAATCGTCATAAAAAATTAACTCCAGCGAAGTAGGAAACTTGCCCAAAATCCTCACGTTCACCAAGCATAGATTAAAATTGCGCTCGAGCACTTTTGGGCAAAATCATGCTGGGGCATTTGGGAAGTCAGAAATTCCAAAATGCTCCTCTTTTTTTTTAATGCAAGATTTAGTAGGCCAGAGACTACCAGCTCCTGAAAGCGGTATCTAGGCCTGAGATGTACACCGACGGTTGGGTCGTGCGTCTCTTGCTTCGGCACGTGAGGCTACGACCTGCAATTGCTACATCCTGTTTACACAACACTGCATTTAATTGATTATTGTGAGCTTGGGTAAAGACCGTTTCAATTGCCCTCTTGTGTGTAATAAACAATACATAACTTGGTTAAAGTGGAGCAAGGCATATGTGGGACGAGACACATCTGTTCTGTTCACCGGTCCTGAAATCGGCTCGGTGACCTCGTTCGCAGTCGCCTAGTAAAGGACTGCGGCCTTTGATAGGCTTAATGTGTGTGTGTGTGTGAATGTGACTGTCATGAGAAAAAAAGGCAATTTATAAATCTTTTTTATGCTTTTTGGTTAAACAGCCCAACACTGGTTTAGTCCGCTTGACGTCGGAATTCGAAGTTGAAATGGAGCTAGAACTTTTCAGTGGAAGGGCGTGATGGTCAGAAATCTGCGATCAAATTTACATTTCGAAAAAAGCATCAGCAGTTCGTGCGCACGTATGGCACCCAGAACGATTCAATTTAAAAGTGAATTGGCCCCATTTAGCAGTCAAGCAGCACGCATGTTTCGTTGAGTCCGCAGGCAGGCTGAAGTGCGCCTTCTTTCCCACATGGAGTGCTGGCATCAAATATGCATGTGTGTGTGTGTGTGCAGATCAGTTGTTCGTCAAAGGATAATGAAGTCAACGCAGGTTGTCTGGATTGCCGGAGGTGATTAACCAGGCGAGGACAATTTGAAGGAGGTAGAAGTTGTTGGTCCACCGCTGGACATGTTCTGCGTTGATAGGGCCAAGGCACGCGTAGTATTTTTAACAATTTCAAAATGGACCCGGCTCTCATCCTACCATAGACTGGTCTTTGAGGCCTCCGTCTTCCGGTTGCACAAACGCACTTCCTTTCTCAACTGCCGTCCACATTTTGGGCGTATTTGGTGTGTTGCAGTACAAACGAAAGACCCACACTGAAGACCCCAACTGATCAAAATAAAGCGAATCACAAAGATGCCATCAAAGACGGAGTAATCGCAGAGGCCTTAGAGCGCAAAATATGCTCCTTCCTCGTCCTGATGTAATAAGCGGTGTAGATTTTAAAAGTGGCTGGAGTGTGTGGCGTTAGCAGCAATATCATACCGCATGAGATACGCCTATTGCGATGAGGCAGCATTTTGGTTAAGTCAAACTCTAGTACACGATATTGGGTACCAAGCATCATTCTTCAGTCTGCTCCTTAGCTGTCAACTCAGAAACAACTTTTAACAATTACAAGACATTGTTGCGTTGACCTGGTGGCAGCGTTTTCTGCAAACGTGGTCCTCCAAAATGTAAAAATATGCACTTTCTGGAACAATACGTGCAAAGTTGGGAAAACGTGTAAATTGTTACGGACAAAGTGCTGTAAATGGACCTAGCTGGACGCCAATGACTCCCTGCCAAAAGCAAATGGGTAATGGTACAGAAAACCTGTGTTTCATATTCTTACAAGCATTTTTCTGAGTAATTTTATGTAAATAAAAAAATATGGCGATAAAATGCCATAATCATCGTCGTGCTTAATGGGAAGGTGAGTAGGCACGCACGCATGCTTCACTCATTAAAAGGAAAACGGTTCGCCAGTGTAGGATGGGTGCAAATTACCGAAAGCACACTTCATTGTGGTGAAGTTGAAGAAATTTGATGGGATCTGGAATTTCTGGACACTTGGTTAGTAAGAGCTCGCAATGGCTTCGAGTTGTCGCTGATCCATCAAGTCATTCTCCAAAAACATTGAATGGTATATTAATATCGTCAATAGGACGATTTTGGTGCATTAAAGCTTTGCTCAAATCACCTTTTTGTTCCAATAATGAACGCCACGCAATGCACGCTAAGAATGGAATTTCCAAAAGGTCCTTTTTAAAAAAAATTACTGCTTAGCAGCTTTGAAAACCGTCGTTATGTTGTCTTTATCATACTTACTTTCGATATCCTTATTGATGAGGCCTTGAACAAGCTAACTTACGTGTTCCTCTAAAATCACTGCTTTGAATTCATACGTATATTTGGTTCTTGGGAGTTTTAAAGCTAAAGTAGAAGTACTTAGTGAATTTTCTAGGCTACCGTAATTGCCGATATAATCATCACTAGCAACTTTGCTATACACACATGCAATAAATGAAAATGTGGCTAAGTTGAATGGATTCGCTTTATCACCTGGGACTTAACTGCAGGACCGTTAGAGCACACAACAGAGAGGAAATGGAGTCGACGACAAATTCTCAACGCCAGCCAGGACCCGTTTCAGGCAGGATGCTTCACCGTCGTCAGACGACCCTGGATTCAATGCCACCGCCCCAGATCAGTCCGGATGGCTTCCCCATCTACATGGAGCCTCCTCATTCCGACGCTCCCGACGTGGGAGCCAAGGTGAACTTCTTGACTCGTCTGATGCACATTCTCATGTGCAAGTGCACGAAGCGCTACTACATGGCATGGATGTGCTCCCTGGGATTTATGATCACCTTCGGTATCCGTTGCAACATGAGTTGGGTCACACTCGCGATGGAGCATCACGCCCACCTCCCCACCGCGGAAATCGCCAAACTTGGGAAGGAGATCAATGTCACAACGGTGAGCCTTTGTTTAAGGCATCAAGATAGCAAAGTTCACGAAATTACCAAGAGCCCATTAGGTTTGGCTGCTTTAGCATTGAACGTATTTTGTGTGAAAATGACCAGGACACAATCTTGCATACTGTTTGGATTGCTTTTTAACCAAACACAAATCAAGGTTAGCACCAGATGGGATTCGAGGCAAGCACGATTACCCTGTCTGGTTATAGATAGAACCGCAGAGTCGAACGGTAGTGTACACGAGTTCACCACTTTGTCAGGTTTAAACTAGAAATTAATTTTAAAACAGACTTTGGCCTTTGTTTCGACCTTCTGTTGGTAGTTCCATCAAGCCTCCACCACTCAACCGATTTCATTCACGCTGATAGACAGGTGGGAACGGGACTAAGAAAGGAAGTGGCCCGAAACTTTGTGCAATACATGACCCACATTTGCGTGCATGATTGACAGTTGTCTAAATAGGGAATATGGATTCGAGTCTGCATCAGTTCATGCTTGGCGTCATCACGTAGAAACGCAATTTGCAACCAGGTACGAGAGCGTTTACTGAGGGTTGTGTGCTCGAATCCTGGCTAGAGCTCGCCCGCGCCATCCGACCCAAAAACAGCCCCCTTGCTTGCGCGAGTCACCGTATTTGACGCCATCCTCTGCATTTATTTAAAGCAATTCGTACACCCAGCCTACCAGTGTGTAGAAACCACGTAAAATAATTGTGCCTCCTCTGAGGCAATCAAGGGCATTTTGGAACGAAAAAGGGGCTCGGAACGTCCTATTAAGATAAAATTCCCATAAACAAGATATAGACTATAATACCTCTTCCATTCTCTGGGCTATATTAAAGTGCACTGCTGGACCAAGTCAGTCAGTCGTGCTTCTACTTTATCACCCGCCATCAGTCAGTGCCAACTTCCTCCCGTTCACTGCCTACCTTATCAATGATACGTTTCACTGACTTACTGATCCACACTAAATAAATTTACAGTACTGCTGAAATATGGTCAACTATTTTGAGTGCTCCTCATAGCATTAAACAAAATTTAGAACAACATTGTTTTCCATTAAATGTACAATGTCATGATCACCAATAGGTTGAGATGCCAACCGAATTGGCTTTGAATGTCAAAACTGACGCATGTGAACCTACAATGAGGCGACAGATAAATGTCCACTTTCAGCTGTCGTTGGTGCCGCACCCATCAATACACCAAACATTGCCCTGAAATACTCCGAGGCTTCAAAGGTTCGTGATGTACATGTCTCGGAAACCGACGCTGTTTGTCCTAGTACATCGCATCGGTTAATACGTGTAGCCTCAGAAGCCCACACAAACGTTCAGTGTCGAGCATAGTGCATTAAACAATTGTGGCAATTTCAGCCGAAGTTGTCACTGTAGCCGAGGTGTTGAGGGAACACAGAAAGGCAGGGGACGTGGAGTCAACTCATATTGGATTGTGCGTTATTTTAGGCCTTACAGGATGGCCAGGACGTGCAGGACTATTCTACGAAGAAGTGAAAACTTACCCGGCATCTGCCAAACACCAGGTTATATCTGTCTAAATGTTGCTGTTTCGTGTGGGGGCCAACGTCGCAATTGACCATTTAACGTCGAAACACCACATATTGACTAAATTAGCCTGCGTTGTCCCAGATTCTATAGCACGTGTTAATCCACCAGTGACGGTGCCACGTGCATCTTAGACTTGGGGTAGCTGTGCCGATTAGACTACACTCCAGGTAGTTAATTCTAGTGCGTGAGTTCGTATTCTGACAAATGCAATATGAGACTGTTCCATTTGTTCTCCTGAAATCGGTCATTCAACAGCAGTCGGGGAAATCGTGGGACGAGATTCAAGCTGGCTCCTTTAACCCATGGCCTCAGTTGCGACCTACTGGGTTCGACCAAATGTGTCGTGGTTCAGACAAATCACCTTGTCAAGTTACGTAACGGCTACGTCGACGACGGCCCAGTCCTCCAAGTCAGGTCGAATTCCCAAAAAACCACTCCTTGTCGCCGAATGCTTAGATGTCCCCACGAAACAAAATATCGCGATAGTTTACAATTCTTTGGTTTTAAAAAGAGGCGACTTTTAAAAAATAATCTTGCACTCCTGCTTGCATGTAGCCGTTAGACCAATTCAAATACCAGTGGTCAACTGCGACATAGCATGCCTGCACTGGACACTGAAGGATTACTGGAAGAAGCACACGACGAGAGTGGCACTGGAAACCGTTTGGCCGTTCGTCGCGCTCAGTGCCAGTCCGCCATCCTCAGACAGAACGCAGTCAAGTGCTGACAGGCAGTCGTGTGTTGGGTTTCACCCTCGGACACCCATTGGACATTCACATTATGCCTCCGTTTCGGTGAATTATAGGGGCAGCCTCCAGAATCACGACTTCGTGTAAACTTTTTGTCTGAATACGTAAGTTTGGTGTTGGCATGATCCATCCTCAAGACACTACTACGAAATTAGGCTCATCATTGCCGTTTTATGAATACGGCCTCTTACAGACAATATTTACCGTCCTACCTGCCTTAAAGTCAGAATCGATGCAGCGTTTCTCTTTTACAAGGAGGCCTTTCTCATTAATCAGGTGTTTGTTATGCATAATTTTCTACAATATTCATTTCAAAGCAAAAAAAGGGGCCGTTTGCTGCAATACGTGCCTCAATTAGTGATTTCCTACTATGGGTTGACATGGCAACCGACCCTGCCTGTTTTGCACATTGGTTGGTCGCATGCATAAGCCCCATGTTTCAGAGCCCAATTGGCATGAATCGGGATGCTGAAGTAAGCTATGTATCTGAACCCCTATGGGAAATAATCAGCAGAAATTTGTACGCCCGATCCAAATTATTTTTGCAACAATTTAAACCAGTACCGTGGTGAGCACAACATGCTTCGTGGTCGCTTACTAACGGTGCACAGAGAAATCCACAGAGTAAATATTTCCCTCCTGTAGGGTTAGAGCAAGAAAACCAAAACAAACAGCGTGGAGCAGCACAGTGGCAACCAGAACCACATGGCTTATGCTTGACCATCACTTCGATTGTCAGAACGAAGAAAGAAGCAAGATTGAGCATGCATTCAAGCACTAACAGTCGCGGATTGTTGGTTGCGTCAGTTCCGTGGGAAGTTCACACATGCCTGTCAACCTAACCAATATCCGCACACTGTTACTTGGCTAGTGGCACGCCAGGTTCGGCCTGATCCACGTACCTCCATTCCCAACCTTCGACTGCGAATGCGTCAGATGGACTGATGTCCTTTTACTATTCCCGTTGTAAATTCTCGCTGGTGAACTCGAATTGCACACGTGGCTGCAGCGAAATGCACTGGCTTCCAACTACTTTTCAAGACGGCCTCGGTCGTGTGTATAACCTGCCAGCTTACTTCTTCAGGTATACCCTAACCACTCAACTACTCATGGCATTTTTATAGTAAGAGACCTGAGACCACGTTGATTTCCTGGGTTTTGTGTCTTACCTGGCCTAGAAGAAGAGACAAACGTTCGCGCTGAATCTCACGTGAAACCTGATCAGACCCACATAAGGCAAACTTGCAGTACGCAAACAATCTAACACGTCTTTTCGACAAAGCTCTGTCCTTTTTTGGTTCTCTATGAAAGACCCCAGAAATCGGAGTGGCGTTTCTACTGAAGTAGCGCATTTAAAACCCGTTATAAGTGTCTTGTGAGAATTCCTGTTTGCTGCAAGAAAGGAACCTCTTTCTTTAAAATTGTGAACGTCACTACTGATTAACAAAATCGAGTTATTAATACAATTCTGTAGATATGCATACAAGACGGCCACACACTAATTATAAAACAAATTATTCATTGTCCGTTAAAACAAAAGGCGTATGCAACAGAATTGATAGAATTCCGTTGTGACGGCTGTAGTAAGGATATTTACGGCATTTCACTAAAGTTGGTGGGCTGTTGTAACAATTTGAGGACTTTTGTAGGCAGGCAGGTTGTGGGGATAAAAAGTGGCGAAGAATGCGGCTGCTGGTGTGAGCGACCCAATTTACTTGGATCGATCGATGCAACGTTATTAGCAGCTTTATAACAGTGCCATCTGGCGGACAAACATCCACTCAAGGAAGAACCTTCCACGAACACATGAATTCACTCAACTGTTACTTTAAATATCTTACGTCTCGCTAGGTTCTGATGCACCTTCAGTTACTACAGGTTTATCATCCTGCTTAGAATAGGATGACTTGACCGCACTGACAAGGATGACAACACTGGTGGCTGGTAAATGGGGTAAGACCGCTGAGTTTTTCAGTTTTATCGAAACGCTCGGTGATCGTTTGGAGGAAACGTTGAATACGCCGACGAATACATAATTGTATTTTAAAAAAAACGTTTTGATATTAGATGTGATAAAGGTTTTTTGCATGCTATAATTTTTACGAAATCGCAGTGACATTGTTATAATGACGATATTGATCTGATAGTTATATTTGTGAAAGTAAATAGGTTTATTGAAGTTCAAGTGACTGATTATGCTATCTACTTTCTTAAATGTTAACTTAGGCTTAAAATGCTGTATTATGATTTCCGGAAATCGTAAAAAACCTACGTGTACCCTAAAAAATCGTGCCTTAATTAAATGGAAATTCAAATTTTGTTTTAGGCCTGTCAATCTTACCCTTTAAACTCTAAATCAATTTTCTGGAATTGCCTTTCTCGAAATTGACGTCCCCTGACGGTGCACTGACCACGAATTAATTGCTTGTCAAATGCAACCAAGAGTCGCCGGGCTTAATTAAGTGCGATTCATTTTCTAGTCCACTACTCATTTTCTGACTGTCCTAGGAGCAGAATAATGATTATAGTTTAGCACATTATCACTTAAGATTCATCTAAATAAGATAGTCTCATCTTCCAAAAGGAGATGAGTTGGCATTAAAAGAATTGTCTTTATCTGACGTAAATATTAAAAAAGCAAGAATTCTAATAATACAATGTTTTAAGACTAAAACCTAATAGAAATATTAGATACCACTTTCCTAACATTAAATTTACTAAATTCGCTCATAAATAGATTTCATAACCTGTACTAAATTCTTACTAAATACATCTACTGCATTTTCGATGAACCTTACCAACCACGAAATTCGTGTTATCATTGTGCGTAAATCATGGACATCGTTGCTACACGCCACATACCTCTTCCGTGTTGATAGCATACGGAAGTGCTATCAGTCCCAAAGCTTCCGCAAAGCCAAGATTATCGCTGCTTGCCACGTCGCCACATCGACGCAGAGGCGAATTCTACGCAGTTAACGTCCAAACGTCAAGATTAATCTGCTAAGATTTATGCTCAGTTAGACATAAAAGTTGTTTGTGATGAAGAGAAACAGATTCATGTGTTCGTGGAAGGTTCTTCCTTGAGTGGATGTTTGTCCGCCAGATGGCACTGTTATAAAGCTGCTAATAACGT